GAATGTTCCACATGCTTCTCTGCGTTTGGTGGCCAGAATTAGTTTGCAACTGAAGCTACTGCTGCTTACTTTGACAGACTTCCAAGTAGAGTATGTGTCTGCAACTTCAAAATAATCACTGTGTTTTTGGCTGTGAGCTAGATTGCAAAATGGAGTGACCTCTCAAATGACAGAATTTAGTACTGAATGGCAGCTGGTTAAATCCCAACTCAGGCTTGGATTAGGTTGATGACTTAACTTTTGTCAGCCTCAGTCCTTAGCCAGTCTGGACCTGTTTTAGTGCATCGGATAGAACTGGAAAACTGAAAAATAATTTAGCTTCTCTTCAGAGCACCAAGGATACACTCCTTTAGTTATTCATAGTGAGATGTATCCCAGTGATTGGTGTCTTATTCTATTCAAGACAGTTTAGACATTAATGAAATGGTCTTGTCACCAAGGTACAGTGATGCATTGAGAGATAAATGCAGTGTGAATGCTTTGGCCAGAAGCCTATTAACATTTTAAGAACTGTGAGGTGATTCTGCTGTGAAAAGTGAGTGTGTACAAATGGGTGTCTGTGTGTATGCCACGGAGTGCACTTAAGTTCACATTAGTGCATTTACATACCACTGCCTGTGTATATGTGTGTTCATGAAAAGCCTCCATATGCTTCGTGTTCTCCCTTTGCCCTGGCTCTGTCCCCAGAGTGAGGGTAAAAATAGCATCCTGGTGTGTATAGACAGCCTTCTGTGTTCCTGTGTGTAGGAATCTGGAGCTGTGGGGGCCGTATCACTCAGGAAATGGCTTTACTGGAAAGCCGTTATTACAGATATTTTTTTAAATGGTCAACATTTAAAATGGGAACGGACAGAAGGGTGTGTCTGTGTGCATGTGTGGGTGTGTGTGCATGCATGTGTATAAGTGAGGGGGCTGTTTTTGGACTTCAAGCTTCTCAAAGGGGCCCTATGTGCTGCTATCAGCCTCTGGGACACTGGGATTGGCACCGCAGCCCAGAAACAAAGCAGTTTGTTCATTTCCTGGAAGGCCATTGAACAAGTGTCTCAGTCAGAGTCCATAACCAATGGGTGGAGAGGGAACGAGAGGGTTTAGGTATGTGCGTAACTGCGGACATAGACGGATACAGCACAATTACGTAACATGCCCTGGCTGTATTGCTGTTTTTAAATGTACAGTAGCACAGGCAGTGTATTCCTCACTAACAGTTGTCTTTAGCTTTTCTTTTCTGTCTCTCCTGTCAGCCTTGAGCTACAGTAACCTCATTGAGAAGGTGTCACCCCCTCCATAGTGTAGGGGACACTGTACCCCTGGCCAGGTTGAAAGAGCACAATGCTTGATCTGTATTTACTTGCCTCTGTGTCTTTTGACCCACATCTTCAGGCTACTGCATGTGGCTCCGTGACCTTTCTGATAAACAAGTTGGATCAGTTCAGTGATGGCATCCAGGAAGTCCAAAGCAGTAATTCCTCCCACCCAGCTGTGGCCAGTTCTGACCAGGAGCAGGAGGGCATGATGGTAAGTCAAGCACAGTTAAATCAGGACCAGTCATGAATGCAAAAGTAGAAAGTTTTTTCCTGTACATGTAGTTGGAATACTGTGAAACATAATACACTGAAACAGTAAAGTAAATGTAGAATTATAGAGATTTATGCAGATGCTATGCATATGTATGTAAATTACATACAGGCTTGCTTAATCTTTGAATTAATTATATATATAGTTTTGATTACACTGCTGTGTAATCACAGCATCAAAGCTTCAATTAGGAAGTACAATTTTGAGGTACCTGTACTTTAGTTTTATAATTTCATTTTCTGCTACTTCATACTTTGATTTTACTATATTTGAGAGTCTGAATATTGTACTTTACTCCACTACACTGTTGTTTTGCATGAAGAGTACTTTTACTTTTGATACTTGAAGTATATATGGTGCTAATCCTTTTGTACTTTCACTTAAGTAATATTTTTATGTAGGACCTTTAACTGAAACAGAGAATTTTTACACTGGTATTGATAGTTTTACTTGAGTAAAGAATTTGAATACTTCTTCCAACACTGGCCATACTATTCATGGCCACACACACACACACAATCAAACAGAAGTTACCATTAGAGTACCACACACAGGTTGGACAGACCACCAACTCAGGTTTTTTTTAGAGGTACAGTATATTTAAGATCATTTCTGGAGGAGGAACACAGTTTGTGGATGGCTCCTGTGTTGCTGACCTCTCACAGGGCATCCAGCTGCCTCAAATAGCTCTTAAACCAACCGCACACAACTTTAGGAATTCATGTAAAGTCTGTGTTTAATTGAGCTAATCTTAATCAAACTGCCTGGCCACTCAGCAAAACAGGTGTTTTTAGCTTTGTGCTTCATGTTCCCTGCAGTGGCCCATCAAGGTGCATTACACAACACAAAATGATGATCAGTAAAGTGTAAAATTAATAAAAATGGTTAGTTCAGCTGCCTGCCTTAGTGAACTTGAGGAGAGGTGGTCATTTATCTGAAAAATGCCAAATATTTATAGAGGAATAAAGATTAAATGACCTCAGCCCAGAATTGTAATGCATGTCTTTTAAATTATTATTATTTTGGCTGCAAAAGGTGTTCAGGGTCAGTAAGGGTAATGATCTTTAGTAGTTAAATATCAGAACCACTTCTCCAATCAAGATGTTCCTCTAAACAGCACAATTTCAATGATGCATAGCATCTGCATAAATCTCTATAATTCTACATTTACTTTACTGTTTCAGTGTATTATGTTTCACAGTATTCCAACTACATGTAAAGGAAATGATTTCAAGTATTTGGCTTAATATAGAAGAACTGCTGAAATAACTGCCTCCACTCCAAACAATAATCTTTGATTTGACCCTTTTAATTCTTTTTACGATGAACTTTGTACACACATTCATCGCTCCTTCAGGATGAACTGCATTTGCTCTTAACTTCCATCTAGTGTCATCATTTCAATTTGTCCAATACTGGTTTATAATCAAATAATGTACCTGCAAAATATTCACATCAGCTTCAGCTCTATTTTATGTTTAGTGCAAATGTTAACATGCTAATGGTGAACATGGCAAACATTATAGGCTACCTGCCAAACCTTAGCATGCTACTGTAGCATTGTCATTCTGAGCATGTTGAACCTTTATTTAGTTCACAGCACCACTGTGCTGAAGTACAGCCTCTCAAAGCTGCTGCCGTGGCTGCAGTCTTCCGACTTGTAAATGGACTTTCCACTGTGGGGAATTTTCTCCATTAAATTCCTGCTAATCAGACAAACCCTTTAATAATTAACAGCAACAAATCTGGAAATACAGGCATACCAAAACTGAAGTTTAGTTGAGAAATTTAATGACTTTCAGTTTGAACAGACTTTGTTTTGAGGATACAATGTCCTTAACATTATATAACTTTGACAGCATTATACCTATGATAAAAATGCTCTATGTAGCCAGAAAAGTAATTTTCTAGACAGACAACATTGTATGTTGTGATGAAGGAAAAATGTCTTTCTATGTGTGCACTTGTGGACTGGATTCTTGTTTTTTTTTTTTTTGTTTTTTTCAAAGGCATTCTATTTATGGAAATTAATACCATTCCTTCTTTCAGTAACACACATATTTGAGCACACATCCATGTTATCAGTTTGGCAGTGGGAAGGGGAGAGCGGGAAGCACAACGCTGAAGCGGGTACAGTTAGTTGTTGAGTCATGAGGTCAAGCTGGGATGGACTTTCCAGTATTGTCAGTGAGCAGGGACGCAAAGGGGGTGAGGATCATCTTAGATAAGGGGGGATTTTTCTGAATGAGAGAAGGGCAGACACATCATCAGCAGTGTCATATAACAAACATTCCCCAGCAGCACTACAGCCACTAAATACTGCACAGAGACCAGTGGAGGGTACAGAGAGCTCCTGAAGAGACAGGTGACATGAAGACAGGGACTAGGGTAAGAGACTGAAGGAGACGCAGCTCCACAGACAGACACTACATACAGCATGTGTTGAATTTTAGCATGAAATCTTGGGACATAACTGCAATTAATTTAAGAAAAGACAATAAATGATATTGTGCAACAGTTTGAGAAGTCATATTTTATTTTACTTTTTGACGACTTGAATTATTCGTATCTTCTCTCAAACATATAGCTTTGTAGTTGAAAAACCATTGTTGAGAAATCACCTTCTTTGTGCCACACCTGACTACTACTTGTCCTCCCAGTGTGCTCCCACTGTGGACAGGATGGTGAGCCGAGGTCCGAGTCAGGATCAGGGAACCATCAGAGCTCCAGACAAACCTGAGCCACTGACCAGGCGGCGCTCACGACCTTTGACTCACAGCAGACCGCTGACCCGCACATCCCTCCCATCCTCGACGCACCTCCATGTTCGATGGGCCAGGGTGAGCCAGACTGCGTTTCTATTTGTGTTTATTGAGTTGGGAATGAGAGATCTGCATTGTAAATATGGACTCAGTCTTTTGTTGTTCATGGCAAAGACTGTGAACCTAATGGCAACAAGTTGTGTTTGATTTGACTTTGTAGTGAATTATGCAGTCAAAAAGAAGAGGGTTCAGTATTTGGAGATCTGAATGTTACTTCCTCTTTACCACTCTGTGGCTAAGATAAATAGAAAACATTTTGGAAAAATGCAGGAAGAACTGTTGTGTATCCATTTGTTCTGATTTCTTTGTTTAACCCCAAATGCAGCTAGGTGACAGTTTACTGCAGCTTCTCCCACTGAGGCCCGCAGTTTGCCTGTATGATAACACCAGGGTTACCACTCCCAAGCAGATTTAGTTCAAACCTGTAGTCTTCCCTGCTGTTAACGCATGCTTCACTCACTCTTTAGAAACAGCTTGAATGCTGGTTTGGAGCTAAACAACATCAAACGCTGCAGCTGACCCTGCAGACGGGAGCTAAACAGCCATGTCTGACTGATATAAGCAACCACTCAATCTGAGGAACTGTTTTGATGTCTACAAAACTGAGCTTGGAACATCTTTGAGTTAAACTTGCCTTTATTTGTCAGTGGGTCATGGAGTGATGGACAGGAAACAGGGGAGACATTTTATGTGCTACACTGGAAATTTGTAAGGTTTTCACAGGAAAGTGAATGTTTTCTCCACTTTCTCATTGACCTGTTCCTTGTTCTTTCTTTCCTCCTCTTCTCTGGGCATCTGGTCAGTCTTTGTGCTTTCTGTAAATAAGGTGAAAGTAAAAGGATGAGACAGCTCTGCCTCATCCAGTAGTATGCAAGGTCACATTATACTGTGTCAGCACTGCAGGGCTCTGCCTGGATAAAGCTACTTCACTTACCGTAATTGTTTTTTTTTTGCCACCAGAGGGTCTAGTAAGACTCAGCTAGAGATGTGGGATTTTCCTATGACAGTGGCAGCATCCATGATAAGGTGTCTGTCTTGGGATGATCTTTCCCACAGTGGTTAGGTATTATCTGGGAATCACCTTCATGCTAACTCTGTTTTGACTGGTTAAACTGGATTTAGAATTTGGGTCATTTTTTCAGTGTAGATGTGCATCAGGGAAACTGAGTTATAGCCTCTGGCAAATATAGTGTTTACATTCTGCAACGCTTGAGAGTGTTCATAGGAACCCACCAAGTATTTGTATATGTATTACTTTTGTTTTGGTACTCATTGTGTATTTCTTTCTTCATGTCAGGATGATTCGAGGATGGCCACTGGATCAGCAGGTACGATAACTGTTTGTGAGTGTGTGGGAATGTCTCCCACAGGATTTTTAATGTGTATGTCAAACCTCAGCCATCCAGAAATAATCATGTACTGTTTCATCTATAACACACAGTCTTGCTTGAACACATGCACAGCATGTTGCATATTCAGGTGTATAAACACAGATAGTCCGGTGAGCTCATTCCAAAAAAATCTAATAAAATAAAATGCTGATTTGGACAAATGTATTGTGTGATAACACAGAAGAGCCTTTCTTCTTCTTCTTCTTCTTTACTAGAGCAAAGAATAAAGGATTTCTAATTTAAAATATCTGGTGAGTTAATAGAAACAGTAATATGAGTTTTTTCCTTCTGGGATTCAAGTTCCCAGAGACTTGAGTCTGAGAAGATGATTAATGAGTCCAGCTCTGACCCCTGCCCATATCTCTTATCCTCAGAGTGTGTCCCTTTTGACTGACATGCGCAGGCGTCACGGTGACTGTCGTTAAATGTAACCCATGCAGATGTCTTGGTGACAGAGTCACAGTCTCTGCACTGCAGGGTTGTTTATTTTTATGCATTTTGTCTGTATGTCTGCGAGCTCACACAGACAGAAGTGGCTCTGATGTGCCCACCATCAGCAAGGGGCATATTAATATCAGTGATAGTCCATGGAGGAGAGGTGCAGTGTGGGTAATGAAGCCTCAGAGGCTGCAGGGAGGTCAGAGGTGATGCCATTAGTGGCATACAACTGGGGTGAGAGTGTGTGTGTGTTTGTGTGTATATGAAACCAAGAGTAAGAAACATTTTATACAAATGCAGCAGCGCTGAGGGAGGAGTGTTGATTAGTTTCATGCTTCTGGTTTGTTTTCTCATTTGAGCGTGTTTTGACAGAAATCCTGTTGTATCAATTCGTGTTTGCCAGCAAGTGTGGTCTGTATCTTAGCTAGAATATGACAGAATATGATATGCACCTGTCTGTGCTCACACAGTTGATATCAACTCTGCTGTCGGCCAGATAAGCAGAAGATTCCTCCTGGAACTGCAGGTGCTGATACCTGTGTTCTCTGCTGGGGGACTGTTTTTTGGATGTGTGTGATTGTGTGTATGAGAGGGAATGTAAGCCATGATGATATATGGTATACGTCACATCTGCCCTCAAGGTACTGAGGAAATAGTTTTACTCCTTGTGAACAAAAAAAGGGTTTATTTTTAAATATATTTTCATGGAGCATTAATTTGCAATAGCAGAGGAATGTTTTCATATAGATGCTTAAGCAAATTAATTGATATCAGACTTCATCTTTGAGGTCACGTCCATGGTGCCTGTGGGGCAGTCGTACTGCACAATGGACAGAACCTGATTTTCAGTGTTCCTATGTGTAGCTAGCTGCAGGGAAATGTGCTCAACTGCACAACACATTTAATAACTGTAGCATTAAACAAGCAAAAATGCTTACAAAGAGGTAGGAGTACGGTTAGCATGTACGCTAGTGCCGAAAAGTCAGCTTATGGAAGAGCATCCACACTGTTACTTGCAGTACTTGTGTAATGAGTAGTTTTTATACCATTACGTTATGGAGTTGCACCATTTATATGCAGTCCCCTTTCATAAATCATACTTAAAATCCCCCCGCAAAATATGTATGCATGTAAGCTACCTTCCTAAATTTTGGACACAGAGAACAAAAACAGAAGTAACATGCTGTCAGCAAATGACCTCAGAACACATGCAAGGCAGCCAGTGATGACTAAACCGTGTTATACAGTCATGATGAGCCAGTGTTGCCTCTGCAGCAGATGGATATAGATACAGCAGCATCTTCAATAAATGGCATTTTTTGTACAATATGTTAATACTGTATATCAAACAGGTGATTTTCAAGCACATGCATACAATTCTGGGAACAGGGATACTGATGCATTTAACCAAAACAGTAAAGTTGTGTGCCTTCTTTGTAGAACTGAGAGGAACTGCAGAGTCTGGGCTGAATTCTCTGTGGGTTTGTCATTACATGTGTCCCCTTTCACATGCACAAATACACAATACTAGCACCATTTAACCAGTCACCGTTTAACACAGTACCTGCACAGCAAAAAGGACCACCATGTACATGTAGAGTAAACATGCTTATGTAACTAGTGCAGTGAAGCAAAGTTAAGAAGCTGTGTTTCCACTTTGTTACTCTTCAGTCATAGTGTTTCACTATAATTATGCACTCATAAAGTTTGTGATAATAGGTTTCATGCACAGTTAATCAGTATATGAGAGCTTTATAATGATTGTTTGATTGTAACATAAGTGTCTGCCATCTTTTAAGCATGTGCACGTGTTGGCATGTGTTTTTGGGGACACACACGAGTGCATGTTTGTGTATTGTCATACACACTTGTGTGTTTGTGTGTGGTCTTGAAATCCTATACAAGCACAGCGAAGAGAGTTGAGGAATGAAGTTGGTCCTTGAGGATTTTCTTGCTAAAATGCTTAACATTTAATAACCTCACTATACGTGCATCGCTGCTAAGTGCCTTTGAAATGAAATACTCCGCAACAAGTCCTTCAATCCGCAAGTGATCTGCACTCCCATGACCTGTGGAGTTTCCTCTGCATCCATTAGCTATTGTTTCCCCTCCCAGTCCTGCCCCTGCTCCCTCTACTTCCTTACCGTAGTCTGCACCCTGCAGCCCTCTGCGCTTGGTTTTCAAACCCCCCACGTCTGTCTTCAAATTGATGCTCTTCCCCATTCAATGTCAAACTTTATACCTCAGGCTGAGTCTGCTTCCTACGTCTCAGCCCTGCTTTCCTCTGTTTCCTGTCTCTCCTCTATGGCTGACCCTTGGCTTGTGTCCCCTGGCCTCAGCAGGTCACAGCGATAGCCATCTCCTGCTGCAGGTGATCCAGTCTCCAGTATAGGAGGTGGTCAAGCTAAACTGTTTTATCTTCACAAGCTGGACAGGGTAAGTTGTTGATACTGTTAGTGGAGAGTGTGGGGGTAGACACTCTGAATTAGCTTCTGACCCACTTTCCACTGGCCCATTTTTCTGAAGCAATTGACCAGAGGTGCATTCCTCAGCAGCTGGTGCAGAAATATTTACACAGACAACGTGATACTGTTGATTCAAGGCCATGTGAATATGTGGGTATGATGTTAGCTCTCAGTCATGTTGTGATGACACATGAGAACCATATGGGTCCTAAAATAATAAAAATATGCATTATTTTTTTCATTCTACTGTACTGAATTTAAGTGAAACCTGCTGATCTAACTTAAATGTCAGGGAGGAAAATCTGAATCCTTTCCACTCAGGCGTTCTCCTTCTTCTACTGGAAAAACAAATATCGTCAATCTCTGAACAAAAATGGCTTTATACCTTTATTGTCGTATTTTTTTGTCTTAATTTGGGTTGTCTCTTTTCTGATCACCTGACCCACTATTGTATTTCCCTCCTGAGTTCCTCTGTTGCTGAGCCTTTGCTGCCTTTGGTTCTACAAGAGTTGCCTGTCAATCACATTGGTCCTCTGGTGTATCAGTGTCAAAGGTCACGTTAGCAATATCACCTCCGAATGCTAAACATAGCCACAACAAGCTAGCATTTGATTCTTTTAATGTTTTTACTGTCTTTACTTGTTTTAGCTTTTGTTGTTTGTAAAGGTTCATAATAATATAAAGTAACTTCATCTTTACAAATACAAACAATACAAACAGATGCTATTTATAGTATTTACTTCATATTAGGTTGTTGAAGGACATGGTCGTGAGTGAACACAAACAGATGTGATCTGAATGTTGCCGTGTTGCTCTTCAGTATACTTTGTAAGGAAGTGGGCGACATAGGGAATTACTGTGATTCATATTAGGATGTTTAGGTGCATGTGTGTGTGCTCTCAGAGATCACTAAAAACAGTGAGCTGCAAATTTAGGTCAAGGTCACAGTGCCATCTGTGCAGAGGTTAAACAGACTGGTGGGGCTCTGCTGCTGACAGTTGCTTTGACAGGATGAGAAATTTGTCTGGATTCTTCTGTTGTATGAAGATTTCCTGCCTAGTTTTGTCATTTGTTTAGTTTATACTGCAGCTCACCTCAAGACTTCAAGTGAGCAGCTGTTGAGAGGTGACATACACTACAAGTGCAGGGGGTTATGTATGCATCTGCGTTTCAGTCTCAGAGAGTAGAGTCAAGTGAGCTCAGCAGTGTGGCCTGGATGACTGAGTGTTGCTGAAAATAGAAGACAGAGCAAGCAACAAGGATGAAGCAGAGAAATAATGAGCAAGAGGAGGAGGAAGAGTGTACAGGGGAGCTCAGTAAATGTTTTTGACACAGCCTTGCACATGCGCTCTGTTAAATCATTGATTAGTCTGAACTCATTAACCCAGGCTCTGTATACATATGCAGCTCTGACTGTTTACAGTAACGCCATCACAGTGCAGGAGTGTCAGCCACAGATAATCTAAGATTTTGAGGAATAATATGTTTAGAACAGCCAATATAATACAAATCCATTCTGTGAATGTTTTGAGTTGTCATTGTGATTTAGACATATAGTGACATTCAGGCCTTAGTTAATGAAAACATGACAGGAGAATCCCCGTGGAGACGTTCATATTCAGTCCTGTATTTGTTCTGAAAATCAGATGTCATGTTTGTCCAGAGTGTGTTCTTTGTGCTGGTTTGAGACGTGGAATGTGTTGGGTTGATGTTTTGATTGCCTGCTGCTGGAGACAGACGTTGTGTGGTGTTCTGTCTCTGTGCAGGGTAGAGGTTGACCTCAGAGACCAGCTCACCATCCACATATCATGGCCTTCAACATCACAGAGCAGAAATACAAATCTGAAGCGGGATCAAAGTCACTGGAAGTTTTGTAGCTTTCTCACAGAGGTGTTTAATTTCTGACCCGTGGCCTCTCTCGTTCTCACTTGTGTCTCTTAACATCAGTCCACTAAGAACGTATATCTGTCACTGCAATGTCTGGCGCAATCCAAGTACTGTTTAAAGGTATTAAGGTAAAATATGATTTTTAGT